AGACGCTCCTAGGAACAAAGGGCATCGCTACTAGGAGCAAGGACGCTGTTCACCAGCCTCCATCTCGGGAGATCGCCTCAGGGGTTGCTCAACAACGGAGATGGCTGTCTCACGACCCATCTCTCGGACATTGGCCTTTTCATCGATGGACGACCAGTGGAAACACTGGAGGCAGGGGTCAGAAACGGGAAACTCGACTTGTTTCTTTTTTTACAGGAATTTGACAAGCAATTTGTTTGAAGAGGACTTGCCAAGCTACCTTTTTCGTCGTAAAAGTCGGTGTTGGTTTGCCAGGTGGATCGTGCAGTTTCCTACTACATCGACGAGGCTGAATGGGTGTAAACAAAATACAAGAAACAAGAATAGGTGCACAGTTGATGCCAAGCCTTTGGAGACACTTTGGCACTTTAAACACCTTTGATTTTGGAGTCTTCAACATTTGTGCAAGACTCCAAGACTTGGCTCCCAGCATGGCTGGAAGAGCTTTCAGAACCACATGGTGCTTTGCATTAAAGTGACAAAATGGCAAGGATTGTTCGGACTAAAGCCATCCAGGTGCTACTCTGCGCCCTTGATTTGCATTCTTGATTCTTTGTTTCCTCTATCCAAGCGCCACAGCAGTTTGTGCGGGACGTTGACATTGCCCAGCATATCCTACGACCAAGAACTATCCACAAACATCTACCAAATTCCAGGTCTCAAATCCGGTCTTGAACCGTGGCAGATTTTGCAGCTGATTCCGTCATTTGTGCTGTACAACTCAGTTGACAGGTGGTGGATGTTGGCACCAACTATTCCCAGATGGCCATTCTAGGCTTCGTTCTCATCCTCGGGACCTTCTGTGCATTGCTGGGAGCTTGGCAAAAAAACAATGTTACATCCATTCTGCGGCTTCACACGGCTTCACGCTCTGCTCTTCGCTTGCCGCTGAGCGGCTTTTCATTGAAGGTGGGGATACATCCAAGATGAGCTGATGCGAGAGCACCTGAAATCTGGGAAGGACGGTCTTGGACATTGCAGCTTAGGAAAATACTCTAACATACAATAACAACCACAGAATACCAAAAAGTGTGTAAGTGTATGTAGTGTACTATATGTAAAAGTACAAATATGAATAGTTGTCCCAAACTCCCTTAGTCGTAGTGTAAAATGCTATGACCTTCGAAATGCACAAGTGTAACTCAATGTCAAAACCGACACGCCAGACCACTGCTCGGTGGCAAGCGGCACTCGAACAGTTGCAGTGGGTTATTGAAGTCTCTTAGCTGCTCATGTTGGGTGTTAACTGTCCATCCCCACACGCTCTATAGCCATAGCTTCGGTGCCGCACCCCGGCTGGGGTCGGTGGATATAAATATTTTTCCCGAATGCGTCGCGCTCGCGTGATGTTTTACCCTTAGCAAGTGTTTATTCCACAAGAGCGTCCTGCAAAGGTGTCGCACACGAGCCCGTCAAG